ACTTTAAGTTTCAAGAATGATTTTGAATTAAAACTTTGCACCGTATTTGAAATTCAAATTTTCTGTGCAGATCCCACACGCTCCCTTAGCGCAACCTATCAAATTGGTTTGGGTGAGCGAACTTGGCCAGTGTCGACGAACCCACTGAACTAAGTCACTTTGAGCCAGAGACCTCCTATAGCAAGCTACTCCCTTCGTCGAACTGACCTCGACTCAGAAGTAGGGGCAATTGATGAGGGGTAATTGGGCCCTCCAATGATGTTGTGCCATGTGGCACTTCCAAACCATTGCATAACACCTCGACACCACATTGACAACGATTTGTCCTTACCAAGTCAGTAGGAACTGCCTCGGATGCACCTCGAATCCACCTCGGATGTGCATCGGATGTACCTCGGGTCCACCTCGGATTCACCTTGGACACACCTCGAACGCACCTCAGATGCACCTTGCGCATCGTGAGAGAGCGCCTCTTACAACCTCAATTAGGGCCAAGCTATATGCACCTCGGCAGGAGCGACAATATCGTTGGGACCGGGCTAGGGACCTCAACATGTGGAGCAACCTCCCACTAAGGTCCCATCGACCTAATTGAAATCGACCAGCCTACGCTACGTGCAACTTATCATCTTCGGAGTCCTTTGGGATCATGTCACCTGACCGATGGAGCTAGCTCCCACGCTACGAAAATCTATGTTCTCACCACCTTTCTGCTCAACAAGCAATGGCCTCAACAAACAACAACAACAACAACGACATTGTCTAGATTGATGGTACTTCAACCGAGGGGCAAAATCTGCTTTCCTAGAACGTATTGAACCAAAAATGCCCACCTAGGGGGAAAGTTGCCAACACTTGAATGAGACAAAAATGCCCTTTTGAATAATGGATTTTTATGGCTAAAATGGTCACTGCCTTATTTACATGAGAAATAAAAGAACATGGGTAAATGCGCTTACCTAGGCAACTGCATTTATCCGAGTAAATAACTTACCGAAAAGCGAAAAAGGCCTAAGAGATAAGAAATCAGAGGAAAGTTATAAGATTCCTCTTAAGAGATAAGAGTTAAGAGAAAACGAACATGTCCTAAATGTGTGGATTAGTGGTATGGGTGGGAAATGATACAATATATGACAGTGGTAAATGTTGTGGCAGCGTTGTCACTATCAAATTTGTTCAAAATTTGGAGTTCACATCTTATGTCCCCTTAGTATAAAAAATTTTCTATACTAGATCAATAGCAATCTGCCACATCATTTAAAAAAATCACTTTAATTTTGAAATGGGAAATAGGCTAGTGTAGAATATTGCTATTGGTCTGGTACAGAACGAAGGGGACAGGGGATTTTTTTTTTCCCAGAAATTGTTGCCAGTTGTAACCTTTTCAATAATTTCTATAGACAATCTAAGAAACCTACAAACAAATGTATGATGTATTTTTATATGTTTTAAGAACAATAAGATGAAACAATTTGATTGATCAATGATTTATCAAATTGTTGATCCAAAAACAATTTAATGAGTTCGGAGCTCCTCTCAACAAAACACATTCCAAACATGATCTTACACCACACATCTCATGCATTGTGGGTCCCAATCTCATGGTGAGATGTGTGGTGTCATTTCATGTTGGAAGGGTGTTGGAAGTTCTGTTGGATAGAAATTTCAAATCCAATTTAATTTAATGGGTCTTTTAGTAAAATTATCGATTGAAATGTATTTCTTTATATAATCTATCAAAATATGTATTTTTCTATGTTTATATCTTATTCATAGTTTTTGTAAGAATTTCTCCTATATTAAATCCAAGTGTATTTATATCTTTTGCCCTATTTATTGTTTTATACATTCCAAAGCATATCAAGATACATATCCATTCCCAAATCTACCAATACAATACTCATGGAGATCCAAGGAAAGACTACACGAGTTATTACAAGGGTAAATTTCTCAAACTACCGCTATGGTTTAGTTAATTGACTAGGTATTCCCGTGTTATTTGACTATTCTAATGCCACCCCTACTGTTTCTGACAATTAACTAACTCTACCCTTACTTTTAACATCCATTATAATTTCGTCAAAATTCATACACATGTGACAATTAAATTTTTTTAAAACTCAATATTGCCCTCGTCCCCTTCCTCTTGACTAGCACCCCTTCCTCCTTTGGACTCCACACCTACAATCGGCAGGTGGCATTTGATTGCACTTTTCAAACGTCTGAATTTGAAAATGTTGCTTTTCAGATGCCACCTTTGTTTGGTGTTGCATCTAAAATAGGGTCTGAAAACTTTTTTTAGATCTGAAATTTTTAGATTCAAGTTCGTCATTTAACACATTTGGACGCGTTTCAGACGTGGCCAAAAGTCAAAACTACCCCTCCCCATTCGACCTCTCTTTCTCATCTTCATACATCTCTCTCTCTCTCTCCACCTTGCCTTCTCGCCATCGCCGCTGCAAGTTGCAGCGATGGCTCTCTCTCTTTCTCTCTCTCTCTCTCTCCCTTGTCTTCCCACCACCACCACCGTCATTGCAACATGCAACAGCGGTGGTTCGGTGAATAATAATAATATTTTTATTAATTATTAATTATATATTATTATTTTATTTTTTTATTAAACATTAATTATTTTTATTAAATTTACTTATGTTATTTATTAATTATTAATTATTTTTATTAACTAGTAATTTTTAATTAATTCATTAATTTTTAAAAAATATTTTATTTTTTATTTGTGTAAATTATTATTTTGTTATTTTGAGGTTGAAAATTATTTTTTATGAGATAATGCAAATTGAACTCAACATTTCCAAATAATTTGTTCTAGGGGTAAAATAGTAAAATTAGTTAATTTCAGATGGTAAAGGGTTGACCCAACACAAACTTATGGATTCGAATCCTCTAAAAAGTAGAAAAGCATCTATGCCTATTTTTAGATTTTCAGACACTTTTAATGTCTTTTTAATATTTTAGATCTGAACTTTCAGATTTATCAAAGGCGACCTTAGTGTCACTGCTGAAAACCACACGTCTACCCTATTTTTATTGGGATAAAAAACGAAGGAATAACTATGCAATGTTTTCGAACCATTGTTGACCCGGACGGTCGGATTGTTCGGCCTGGGAACCATCCAGGCAACCGGTTCTGTTTTACCCCAAACCTGACATCTGGTCAAAAACCGTTGAAAAAATCAACAAACCGTTGACCGGTCAACCTATTCAACATTTTTTTGATCGTTTTTTTTTTTTATTTTTTAATTTTGCTGTCAGAATGGGCTGTCCATTTGAACTGGATAATCGAACCATCAGCCCAGAAACTGGTGGCTAGAATGATTCCATTTCGGGGTCGCTTTTTGAAACGTTGTTACTATGATATTCTACGTTGAATACTAGTTAAGACCAATACCAAAGCGGTTACAACTCCACTTCAGTTCAACTTGAGTGCCTTTTCTTTCTCTTTCAGGGCCTCATAAAAAGGGAATCCTGATGACTAAACCCTAGATTATCCAATAAATGCTGGAACAACCCCTTAGATCCGCTTGGAAAATGCTTCACGTTCTCCATAGAAATGTCGTCATAGATGCTAAAGCTGAAAGGCTTCTCCCTCTCTCAACTCTCAACACTCGAAACTCAAAATTTCAAAATTTTCACTTTCTCGACAAACCGGAGGCATGGAAAAAAAATCGCTAGAGGGTGAAATTGCCCGACGAAGCAACTTACATGGAGGTAAGCTCTCGAGACAACATCTCTTTAGTTTGAGTTGTGGAGATATTATGATTTTAATCTGAGTCTGCAAAAGGTGTCACTGTACACTCAAGGTATTGCAGTTAAGAGATCGGCCTTCGGATCAAATATTATCAAGCTTTAGCAATGACCTCCCTCCCTAATGCCTTGAAATCGAAGATATAGCCATGCTGCTCCAGGTACCGGTGTTAACCACTAAACATGATCCTGCACTTGAACCCAATGGAAAGAAATGTTGCCGTAGATGTTAACGCTGAAAGGTTGATCTCTTTACTTGTTGGTTTATGTCTGAGACCTCTGTTACATGGGAAGGAAGGAAGAAAGAAGAAGAGAGAGAGAAGGGGAAAAAGGGATGCCAAAATTGTCAGTGTGTTTCAGATCAAAATGAATAAAATGGAGAAGAGAGTGGAAATCATCGCTTTCAAAGGCTGCAACAGTGGTGACGGTGGCTTCATTGACATTCCACTGTGTGGGAAGGAGGTGAAGAGAGAAAGACAAAGAGACCGAGGAGAAAGAACTTCTATCAAAGGAATTTAATAGAAGAGTAAAATTGACATTTCAGCTTTTCCATCAATATTTAACATTTAACGATAATGATAATTTTTTGAAACAATAAGATAGCATTAGAATATAGTAAAACAGTAAGGTATACTAATCAATTAACTAAACTATAACGATAGTTTAGACTGTGTTTGAAAACGATGTAAATGGAGTATAAATCATGGTTCAGGGTAAATTTACACTCTGGTTCGCTTTTGCTTTATGAGAGATCAATGCGTATTTAAATTAATAATAAGATATAAAAATGGATCAATAAAAAAGAAGTAAAAATTTGCATTCAAATAAGCTTTTAATAAAAGAAAAAGCATGTACTTTATTAGAATTCATGTTTGTAGCTAAAATTTTGTTTGATAAAAAGATAAATTTGTAAGTGCAAAATTAATCCAATTTTATAATTTATATGAATTATTTTATGTTCTACTTATTTACATTCACACTTATTTGCTAGACTAGAGTTTGGGCAACTCCGAGAGTTATTCGCCCTTCGGACAAAGGTTATATTCGTCAAAAAGATAAGTCCAATTTGTCTATCGCCTATCATCTCATCGCTCGTGTCTGGATTCTGTAATACATTTTTCCAGTAAGTTTTATTTACTAGACTAGAGTTCGTCTTTTTCCAGAATCGCATTTCGATTGGGTTTCTCTTTCATTTCATTTGCATTTACATCTACATTTCATTTTTAAGCCGAATCCATCACTCCTTTCCTAGCCTCAGCCCTTCCTCTCTCACCGCTGCTGCCACTGAGTACCCTCTGCGCCTCTCTCGTTCGCGTTTCCTCTCCTCCGCCAACGCGAAGTAGGAAGCGTTCTGCCGTCTTCTAAAGGCAAGCTTTCTTCATCATCTCCTTCAACGGTTCCCTTTTTCGCTCTCTTTATTTCCATAGCTCAATATCCAGCTGATCTGTTCAGATCTAGGGTTTCATGCTTAAATAGAACTTGATCATGATTGATCTGTAATTGAGTCTGTCCTAGCGATATCTTTAGGTTCGATCGCCCATATTAGGGTCTTGCCTCTCGTCAGTGATCTAGTTTCATTCAAGATCGGGTTGGGATTTGTGAAACTGAGAAGCATGATGCTTTGGCTTGATGTTCTCTATATACTGATCGATCAGCATGGAGTGGTTTATGTGGTTAACGTGTTTGTGGATCTGTGATATCTCATCGTCGATGTTTTCTATTAGTTTCTGTGTTGTTTTGAGTTTGAATTTGATGTTTTCTGAATTTGGAGTTGGTATTTGTCATACAAGGAAGGGCTATTCTTTACAAGTTGCGGATCGATCGTTTTATTGGCATCACTTCTCCTTATTGTATTCGGTTTCCATTAGATCCATTTTAATTTGTGGATTTAAAGGCTCGAATTCTTCTTCATTTTCGCTCCAAGGTGTTTATGGGTGCATACTCTACAATATGATTTGACCATTTTAGACAGTTATCGAGTAAGCTCTACTTTGAAATTGAGAACTCTCGATTAAGTTCTGCTAATTTGAGTTTTAACTGTGAATTCACTTTTATATATTTGCCCGGTTAGTTTGGGTTCTCCCCACAGTTGAGATGTATCCACTGAAATTGGTTGTAGAGGGTCCACGGCTCTAAGGCTGGGTTTTCAGTCCCCTCCCTTCCAGTTCCCCTACCCTCCACATGATATTCTAAACTCATCTCCATGACATTTTTGCATCTTTGTATATTTTGGTGATGGTAGTGTTTGGGGTCTGAAGTTGGTTGTACACCCATTTGAATCCATATTTATCTTTCTAAGATGTTACCGTCAACTTATTGGTTTATGGATTAAGAGTATTGCTAGAATGCCAATATAACAAATTTAGGTTGGCTGAAGCTGTAGGTTGCTGTCCAAGTTTTACGGACTAAAAGTAAAATTCTTGTCTCTTTGGTTTAATTTGTTGGAATTGTTCACAGTTACTTGTTCAACAGGACAAATTATTGTGAATGGTTGCAGTTAGTGTTAGTGATGGAAATTCAGTTTTGTGAGATCTATTTTAGTATTTACATTCTTATTTCTCATTAAATATCAGTTCAAATGTGGTAAAGTAAAACCTTGATCCCCATAAATGTTTAGTGGTTCAACAAAATGTATTTCTATTGATGTATGCTTTCAAATTTCGTTCCTTTTGGAAATGATATCTCTTTGAATTTTTAGCTTTCTTTTGTGATGGTGCTGTTTCCATCAACATCCTCCTTGGTTATTTTCTTTCAGATTCTAGATCACATTAAGTGGTCAGACCCTTCCACTTTAGGCCTTTAGCCCTTCATATAAATATTTCTTATCTGTTCAATTTCTTTATGATATTGTTCTTGCTTTTAGATCTTCAAGTTTGAGCCAAGATTCTTCAACATTGGGATTTGGGTTATTCTGAGTGTATCTTGTTTGCTTTCTCTTTTTTAGGATTGTGACATTTAAATCCATTTGCATAATTTTGGTTATTCTCTATCTGTTATTATGATTTCATTATGAGCTATATACACATTCGGGGTGCATTGTTTCAAAACCATTTGTTGTGGTCTGATCCTATCATGGAATTGCTATAAAACAGCATGATCTCTACCCATACAGCATCTTCTTGTGAAACTATTTATTAGAAACTGATGATGCCAATTGTCTGGTTGGGGAAATTGTTTGCTTTTGGCTTAGACATTCTATCAAGGATCATGTTAGGGGGCAAAGAAGACATGGTTGTGTTCTCTTTGCTGAATCTTTCAAGTCTGTAGTGGTTGAACATCTTGTTTGTGCTATCATGCACCATACAGTCTCATATCATTTTTTTCTATAAGGGGTAAGTCTCATATGCAACAAGCTGCATTGGTTTGTGATGTGTGACACATGCACTGATGCACAAATATACCATGCGCCACATCTGTCGTCATAATGTCCTGTTTACTCATGATTTTCTCAGATAATAAGCATCTTATAATACTTAATACGTGTACTCATATTTCATGCTTAGGAGCTGTAGTAACTTCATATTCCTAGTCCTAGAAGATGATTCTGATGCTGTGGAACAGAAATGCCTTCTTTTAAAGACCACACTTAGTGCCTCACCTTTTTTTATTGATTTAACATTTGAATGTTATCAGTGGCACTGATAGTTGAAAAGGGTATTTCTTTGTTTTATATGTAATCTTGGTGCTAGTGAAGCTACAATTTTGAACTAATTTTTCTTAACTGCATTAGAACATGAGATAGCCTCCAAGGCATCATCTCATTCTTTCTGAAATCCATGCAGTTGAATTCCCTTCCATTTATTGAATAAAATCCTTTTTTCAATCAGTAATCTTGGTGTGTGCAAGAAAACTAATGAAACTATGTGAATTCATTAAAACTAATATAACTTGCAATCCTGGGCACAAATTATGTTCTCATGCTTGTTGGCCTTCCATGCTTCTAGGATGTGTTAAAACTATACAATAATCGGGGAATTGTAAAGCTAGTTATGCTACTTTTCCCATTTATCTTTGCCTTTAAGTGCCTTGCCTATGGCCAGGCACACGCACATCCCCTTTGAAAAGGTGCTTGGTGTGCTCTGAGCCTCTGCACAGCTGTGCACTTTTTTCAAGCATAGTTGCTGGGCCTGGGTTTTGCCCCTGACCGAGCCCCTTGAGGCTAGCCAAACAATGCCATGCAGGGGTTCAAAAACATTGTTTGTATTTGGGCATTGGGAAGGTGCCCAGCCCTAGCTGAACCCAATTCAACCAGAGGGACCAGTGTAGTTTCAAAGCATTGAGCTTGAAGTTAGAACCCCTCTCTTCCCATTTAAATAAGGTGGCATGCTTTGTCCTTGAGAGTTCTATTTTCATTTGGTTAAATGGGGATGGCATCATTCATGTATTTTGAAACAAGAGTGACTTCAAGTAGTGTTCTATATTTTGTAAAAATTTGCAATCAGGTCCTTGAATCTTTCATATGTAGCACCTTCATTTCTTGCTGTGTTGTTGTGCTCAGCTTTGTGGTTCTCTCTGTTAACTATTTCATACAAAATCTGACAGTATTAAATGCATTATATCATTACAGACTCAATATAAAACATGGCAGATTCCGAGGATATTCAACCTCTTGTTTGTGACAATGGTACTGGTATGGTTAAGGTGAGAACAGTTGCTAGTTGCTACAAAGCACTGAATAAAAAATTCCCATCTGCAGAAATATATAATGCATCATGATCATTTTATTTCCATCTTCTATGTTCAACAGGCTGGCTTTGCAGGGGATGATGCTCCAAGGGCTGTGTTCCCTAGTATTGTTGGTCGACCAAGGCACACTGGTGTTATGGTTGGAATGGGGCAGAAGGATGCATATGTTGGTGATGAGGCACAATCCAAGAGGGGTATCCTCACACTGAAATACCCTATTGAGCATGGTATTGTTAGTAACTGGGATGATATGGAAAAGATATGGCATCATACCTTTTACAATGAGCTCCGTGTAGCTCCTGAAGAACATCCCGTTCTCCTAACTGAAGCCCCTCTCAACCCCAAGGCTAACAGGGAGAAGATGACACAGATCATGTTTGAAACTTTTAATGTTCCAGCCATGTATGTTGCCATACAAGCTGTGCTTTCCCTTTATGCAAGTGGCCGTACCACAGGTTTGTAAAATAGACAGACAAAGAAAATAATGAATATTTTTAATGCCCACCTATGATACAAACAAGATGATGAATGATGATCATCGAGAAAAACAAACTATAACCAAGTAATTTTTCATTTTATTGATGGTGTTTCCCCATAGGTATTGTGCTGGATTCCGGTGATGGAGTTAGTCATACGGTCCCTATTTATGAGGGTTATGCACTTCCCCATGCCATCCTCCGACTTGATCTTGCTGGTCGTGATTTAACTGATTGTTTGATGAAGATTTTGACTGAGAGGGGGTACTCCTTTACCACAACTGCTGAACGGGAAATTGTTCGTGATATAAAGGAGAAGCTTGCCTATGTGGCTCTTGATTATGAACAGGAGCTTGAGACTGCAAAGAGCAGCTCGTCAATTGAGAAGAGCTATGAGCTGCCTGATGGTCAGGTCATCACAATTGGAGCAGAGCGTTTCCGCTGCCCAGAGGTGCTATTCCAACCTTCACTCATAGGGATGGAAGCTGCTGGAATTCATGAGACCACCTATAACTCAATCATGAAGTGTGATGTAGATATCAGGAAAGATTTGTATGGAAATATTGTCCTTAGTGGTGGGTCGACCATGTTTCCTGGCATTGCTGATCGTATGAGCAAGGAAATCACAGCTCTAGCACCGAGCAGCATGAAGATCAAGGTGGTGGCACCACCTGAAAGGAAGTACAGTGTCTGGATTGGAGGATCCATCCTGGCCTCCCTGAGCACCTTCCAGCAGGTAAATGATAAGATGGTCCTCCTTGGATGCCATTTTTTTGAGTATCTGGTACATTGCATTCATTTGATGCTGGCATGATATGGTAGATTAGCTTGGAAAGCCATTTAAAATTGCTATTACTTAAAATTGTCTCACAAGACAAGTAATAGAGGAAGCAATCCACCTCCTTAGTCAAGTTGGTGTGTGGTGCCTTATCTTTTAGTGGTCAGCGGGTATTGAGTCCTCAACATTGTGTTCCTAGTAGTTGGGTGATACTATTTAATGCCCTACTCCATCCGGCGGGTGGTCTACTACCCGTTCTGGTTTGAGCTAAACTGTGACCATGCAACTTAAAAGAGGGGAAAATGAAAGAAACAACTAAGACGAGGTAACCTCTAATTATGTTAAGATACTGTATCAATGTTATATTCCACTTCAACTGGGTGGATTCTTGAGGTATAGAGTTTAATTTACGCCTTCAATATATCTCGGTGGATTTCTTAAATGCTGAATGCTTTATTCTTTGTGATGAATCAACGGTTGGGTTCTGTTATGTTGACATTTTGGTTCTCTTTGGATTTTGTGCAGATGTGGATATCAAAGGGAGAATACGACGAGTCTGGGCCATCTATTGTTCACAGGAAGTGCTTCTAGAATAGAAGGGCTCTTTTTTTATTATTTTTCCCCGTTTTGCTTGTGTTTTTGTATTTTCTGGTTTAAGTTACCTGGTTGTCGAACGCCGGATCGATCCTTATGGTTTGGTTGTTATTGTGTTTGATATTTTTTCTTCACAAGTAACTTATATGTTTTGGCCTCTACAAAATTACTAGATGTATGTGTTTGTGATTATATATGTAGTTTGAATTTTAATTGCCATAGTCGTGTTGCTTCCTAGTTTGAGCGCTCAGTTAATTGGGGCTTTAGAATATATTCATGGATGCCTATTTTCGCATTCTCCATTAGATTAATCTTTACTCTGATCAGCAGTGGCTTATGGTTAATTCATAATTATTGAGAAAGTATTGGATTGCATATTTTTCTTTGATAGATATTGAAGGATTGGAACTGGAATAACTACAGCCAACCAATTCCTGACAAAATAAACTGCATGTGCAAATCTAGTCCAGAACTGCTAGTGTGGATTGATGACTGAACTTATGGCGTCTAAAAATTCTAATGAACAATTCTGATCCTAGTGAAACGCGGTGGATCGACTTACATGGGGTTTACATGTCCATATTTGATCTTCAGTCCACAATTGTTTTACAAGGTTGATGCTTTATGGTATAATGTTGTTCTTGGGGCTCTTAGATGATTGTTCAGTATCGTGGCCGTTTTATATTTGCAATGCTGCTACATCAGTGTCATTTAGGCATTTTGAGGTTAAATGTCAAATTTCAGGTTGGTCGAGACAGTAAACTGGAATCATAAACGTGGTAGCGAATCAGGTGTTGTAAATCAAAATTCATGGATGAGTTTTGTTTGTTTCAAACTCTTTTTATATCATAGATTTTTTGAGTTAATTTTAGTCTTTTAAAGCCGGTTTCAAATCTTTTTCGTATCATAGATTTTTCGGGTTAATTTTAGTCTTTTAAAGCCCGTTTGGTATGGTTTCTGTATCAAAGATGAGTTGCGATGATGAGCTGCGGTGGTTGAGCAAACGTGTTTCAGAGCAACTTATTACGGTTGCATTTTTTGCGTTCAGAACTTAATGGCACGCGTTTAGATTTCACCGAATAGCTTCTTGCGTGGCCCAGCTTGAAATGTCAGAAGACGTGTCCCAAAAGTCCTCCCAAGTGGAAACTTAGAAACATAAACCAGAGGGTGTTGGAGTAAAAGTAAAATTTACGTTTCCTCCATCAACCATTCGTATGGGGAAGGGGAACAATTCAACGACCCTGTTTTTAGTTGGCATCCTATGAGGGTATACACTATCAAATACTGCAAACCCTACCTCCCAAAATAAATTTATTTTCTTTTAGTTTTATGCTTTTACAACCGTCAAATCTACATCTAGGTTAATTTATGTGTAATAATAAGTCAATCATTAAAAAATATCCATCTTTAAATTTGAGAGTTGGGGGTGGTGTCACATTGAATATAAACATTTTGTCAAAATACTGGTTCAATACAGCATAACTATCAATTAAACAAGTGTGGGGTCAAAACGCCAAATGTCATGAAATGCCATTTGTCTCTCTCAACGTTTGAATATGAAATGGCAATAGCACCAAATACAACTTTAATAATGAGTTGTGGTGACATTACATTCTAGGAGGATGAGCAAGGTAAAAATAGAGGGTCCATTTGATTTGTAAGAATAGGGGTCTGGAATTAGAATTAATCCATTTCGATTCCAACCATTTGGTTGGATAAAATCGGAATCCCATTCTCATTCCACCAATCCCCCCAATTTGAAAGAATGATCATTCTCTCCCTCTTTCTTGGGAATTCTAATGAATTCCGATTTCAATTCCAATTCCCATTTGAATCAAACGGGTAGAAGGAATTGAATAAAATGCATTGTTATTTCATGTTTTTATTAGTATTTTCTTAAATTGAACACTTATGAGACTTGTGTTAGTTTAAAATGTTCTCAGCCATTGGATAGATTTGGAAAGTTTGTTCTAACAAGGTAGAACCGATGGAGCAGCTTGTCTCAGCTGTTAGGATTAAATCCCAAGCACAGTCAGTAGGTGTTTAGAAAAAAAAACACTATACCCATACCAATTTCCAGTTATGCCCTAGACCTTGGAAATAGATAGGCAAAACTAGAAAGTTGCACTTAACCCCAAACTTGATTATGATATTGCACTAGGTTTTACATTGAGTTGTCTTTGATATGCCAAACAGTGAGATCCATCAAGAGTCAAATACCTAGGCATGTTGGGGTAGTTTGGGAAATTACTTGGGTGGGTGATCATAGTGATAGAATCAATCCATTTGTCGGACAAAGTGTATATTAGGGTTTACACTCTTTTTTATGGAAACCTAAACTATCAGTAATGGATATCAACTATATTTGAAATATGAATTGCAAAATATATTTATATATTTATAATACTATTTTATGAAAAAGATTTACAAGAGGTTTTAATTTTGGGATCCATTTGAGCAGAAAGTGTGACACTATATTTTGCAGTCAAAGAAGAAGTCCCACCCTATGGGCAACATTTTGATGATTATGGGCCAAGATGTTAGATGTAAGAGACCATTACATGGTTGATTACCTAATGGGCTTCATCTTACATAAATCCATTGTCCTTGTGTCTTCACAGGGTGGTTAAGGACCATTTATGTGTAAATGTTAGGCCCAAACTGAGCCCAAACTAATTGAGTCAGGGGTTCACTACCCCTGAGCAGTGAATTCGGCCTAACCTTTACCAGAGGTGGGACCAAATTTTAGGGGATTTTGATTTTGATTCCAATTCCAATCCTAGCTGCAAATGAACCCATAGCATAGATACTAATATGCCATTCCACATTCCTAGGACATTTTAGTAATTTCAAAAACTAACCAAGGCAATAGGGGTTTAGGAGAGGGGTAGAACGAAGATTTAATAGCTAAGAAGACTCATTTTAGTAAATCTGGATTTGCTCCTAACACCAACCTCACACATATTGCAGCTGTGAGTTGGGAACATCTCTTGTACTGTACATGGTTTTTAAAATCAGACTGGACCGGATGATCGGATTGAAAAAACTAGGAACCGGTCAGGTTTTGACCCTTTTTAATTTTTTTTACCGGTTTTGACCCTGACCGGTTCATTATCCAGGTTGGTTTTAAAAACCTTGGTACTATATGATATCATTCACAGGGAAATGTTTTCAATACATGGCTAGTATGTACTATGAAGTTGGTGAGAGGAGCAGATGTGGACTCCATTTTAGCATATAGACAAGGCTTTCTTCCTTGGCTCAAAGGAGTTCGGATCTATTCACACCATTTTAGAGTACAGATAGGTAAATATTGATTGCCTTGCTAAGTTGGGCAGTCGAATTTTAATTATCCCTAAAAATTTGTGGGTTAAAGTTGTTTCCTAAAAAATGTTTAAATAATCAAATTTCTGGGGTACTAAAGCAAAAAAGGAGATTTTATTTCGTGGGCTTGGAGGGGGTATATCCTTGCTTCTCATGAAGTGATTAGGTAGGGGGTTGGGTGAAGAATTGGCGAAAATAAGGATATCAAGGTCAGTGAGATTATTGACAATGAGAGGAGAACATGGAATATGAACCTCATCAGGTTCCTTGTGCCTCTTCTTCTTGGCTAAAAGAAATCCAACCTATCCTTATCCTTTCTTCTTGGCAAAAAGATATGATGGTTTGGAGACTAATCTTTTTTTTGGGGGGGGATAGAAGAGGGAAATTTGAAGACTTACATCAAATGGTAAATTTTGAGTTAAATCAGCCTATGATGGGGAATGTTTGGCAAACCCCAATTCTTTTTTCTCCCAGTTGGAGTCTAAAAAGTATTTGGAAAATCCAATGCTCCCAAATTAAAAGTTTTCCTCTTTTTGGCATTGAGCTTTAAATTACCTAATCACTTTATCAGCATAGCTTGTAACATTGATGGTGCTTGTGCAGTTTGTGGAGAAGATAAAGATCTTAACCACATATTTATAAATTGCTTGTTTGCCAAACAAGTGTGGCTTGTAATTGGGTCAAATCTCGACGATCAAATGATAACGATACTCAATTCAAGACTAGTGGATGGGGATTTCTAATCCTAATTCTAACGGGGAGAATGGGGACCAATGGATTAAATAAAAGAGTGTAAATATTTAATGGTTTATTTGGAAAAATAGAAATGGAAAGATGTTTAGCAATATCATTATTCCTCCTACCATATTAATTGAAAGAGCTACTAATTATTTCATGAACCTCAAAACCAGCCGATGGAAATGTTTTCAGGGAAAAATTTAAATCAACTCTAACACATCATGTAATGCGGTTGGTCACTGATCCATTGCATGTATTGTGAGGGATCATCTTGGAAGGGTGTTAGAGGTGAAATATTATTTACATTGGCATGACTTCTATTAATCTTGCATGCTTAAGCTTGGCTGCTTAGGCAGCTTGGGAAGCCTATAATGTTACATTGAATTTTGGGGAGTTCAAGGCCTTCATCGGCGGAGATTCCAAGCTAGTCATCGATTGCCTTAAGAAGGTGATGGATCCTCCATGGAGGATCAAGACAACCATTGAAGAATGTCTATAGCTGAATGTGCTTTTGGATCATGGTATGAACTATATATTGACATGTCTTTCATGAAGTTAACCAGGTGGCAGATTGATTGACTCATGCAGCCTTTGATAACGTTGTTCTTGATGCTCTCAATCTCCCATGGTCTCTTGCTTTCATTTATTTTTATGATGTTTAGGGGCATACTACTCCCCGTCTTATGTTAACACACACCCCCATTTGAGGAAATGCCCATTCCCATTTCATCTCTTGGGAATGAGAATCTATTCCAACTGATTCTGATTCTAATTTTGATTCCCGTCTTAACCAAATAGTAGAGGAAATAAACCATTCTGATTTCGATTTCAATTGCAAACCAAACAAACCTTGAGCACATGAAGAACTTATTCAAAATTAACTTGTTCTTTTAACACAACAAAGTCATCAAAGGCAAATCGTCTGATGATTTGATGCACATGAAATATGTATAGGTGTCTTCCATTCACAATCAACCTCAGACCTCAGATCACTCAGCTGCATTCAACTAACATTGATCTCTCACTTCATGATATGACAGCCACATTAAGGTGTATGTCTCCTCCATCGATAGAGTACACGAAGATGAAGGAGGATGCCACACCAGTCACCTGTCACCATTCTACTACAACATATATAATCAACCTAATACTGTCAATTCAAAGCATGTTACAAT